TGAAAAGAAAAACCTTTTCTTTTGAAAGGAAGTTATTTCGCTCAGACATTTATGAACAGGAAAAATATTTGCTGCTTTACATAGATTTTCGGAGTTTTCCTACACCACATTTAACTTTCATTGCTGTATGACAATTTCGAGGAGATGCGCTATTCCTGCCGACACAGAAATAAACTTAACCAATCCCCAAAATCTTAATTTTATGTTTGGAAACTTAGCTATGATCAAAGAAGAATACCGTCCTCTCTTCCCACCCCCTCCCCCTCTCCCACGACGGGTCTGAATGAGAAAGAAGTCTTTCCCCATCCCCCACCCCAGAGGAACAATAAAGCTCTTGCGAATTTATTATCCTTTTAACATTTTTTACATCGGCCCCATAAGCTATATAAGCTTTAAAACCCACCGCGTATAAATAAAGGATGTTGTTTTTGTTGTTCTTGTTGTTGAATACGAAGCACGAAAGAGCAAGAAAGGGGAGTAAAGTTAAGCGGCTTATTATGCAAGATGTATAAATATAGTTTTCTTCGAAAGCACTTTAGCCAAAATTAAACATCAAATTCCTATATATTAAAAACGGAAAACCACATTAGTAGTGGCTGGATGTTATAGATTCATGCGAACAATCTACTTAAGAAGGAAAAAAACCGTCTCACATCGAAAAAATTGCCCTGTAAGCAAGGTGAGACCCAGCAGGCAATGAGCCCAAATAACAAGGGCCTGGGGACGGGTTGCGCCAAGAGACTATGATCTACTTGGTTGCTCGCATATTCGATGACGTAATAAAATTTCGCGCCAAATGGAAAGAACTTTCATTATTACAGACGCTACCTACCTACCCGTTCAACTACTAGGTAAACACCCAACGTGATTCGCTACGCAAGGGCCTTATAAATGTAAATATATAGATGGCACTGGAAGCTGGTCAATCTTTTAAAGTGGCTTCAGCTTCGCGTCTTTATGTAGTTTCTGCAATAAAAGTTTTTTTTGTGTGTGTGCGTGATAGATCAGGCAGTAGGCAGGGGCTTTTTGTTGGATGATTCAGATACGCAAATTTCGGGAGTCTTCTGCTCCGGCCCTCCCTGGGTCAGTAAGTTATGCTTTTACAATTAAACAGCTCACTCTCGGTTTCTATTGACTTTGATACTGAGTTGTCAGTCGATACAAACCACAAACTCAAAGTAAAGTAACCCTAATTTTTACACAAATTAATTAGTTTTATTTCCTATTGAAGATAACATGTTTTCATGCTTAAAATACACCATATCACAATACAATCCTATGTCACACCAGTCTTAGCTGAAACTTCAGCAATATATAAAGAGACCTGTAGTATCGATATTACTATGTATACCACCTTACGTTTACATCAACTCCCAATCTGTGCTTTTCAGTCAAACAATCTAACTACAATATTATATAAAAATAAGCCAATGAAAATTACACCAGAGCTACAATACGTTAGAGCTAACATACACTAGAGATACATTTGTATATAAAAATTAAAATCAAAAATTTTTCTCATGCATAGTTTTTGCCACTTTCTTAATACAAGCATACTGAGAATACTGACTAAGAATAATACTGAGAATACTGCAAGCATACTGAGAATACTGACTAATCAAACGCAATCCTTATCAAAGATTGATTGTCATAATAATTATCACCTAGTGAAAACTGCAACAAAATTTAATATTATCCTTGAAAGAGAAAATAAAGTTCTTGTGTCTGAAGGAAACACTTTGGAATAATGAACACTTGTCACAAATTCAATTTGAATTTGCAAATATTTTCATTCATCTTCGCAACTTACAAATAAAGCGCAAATGTCATTTTTGCTTCAAGCTAACTGTAAAATTTCCCTCCTAACTTTCAATGTAAATTTAACAACAGTAATATTTTGCGTTCTTAAACCTAATGTACATTTCGGGCATCTGATGGTGTCGCAGCCATGGCTCGTCCTATGCCATTGTTTCAAGCAGTGTAGACAGTAACTGTGTAAGCATGGCAGATGTTTTGGATCGGTAAATATGTCGGAACACACCGAGCAAGACACTTCTTCACGGAGATTATGGAGCAAAGTTTTGATATCCATGTTGTCTGAAACAAACGAGTAAAGCAAGGTCTTCGTGGTGGAATACAACTCCCAACAATGAAGTCTTGTGACTTTCTTTTTTTAGCTTTTCTAAGAATCCTAACTGTTTATTCTGATAATCTTTTTCATTGTACAAACCAATCAGGAACTTTGTTTTTGATAGATGTTCTTCGGTTTCTGATTCCATGGAATGCAACCAAGCTACACCCAGTTTCGCTCACAGACTAGTCTACAAAAGCCATGCACTGAAAGCTATTTTAGGAAGATCTCGTCAAAGTGTCCATGCAGAACATAGATTCACAAACATAATGAATTTACTAATTCTAATTTAAGTTGGATGGCATAACTTACATTGTGACTAAGATGGGACTTTAATTGGCCATAGTCACATTTCGTTTTGCAGAGGAGGACAGAGGCACATAGCCAGCAAAAGGGAACCTACGTACCACCCCCCAGGTCGAGCTTCAACATACAATGAAAGGAGACCCCCTCGGGGTATATTAGGAGGCATCTTACTGACGGAAAAGACAAATAGGAAGGAAGCAAAAACTTTTATTTCACCCCAGAGTGAGAAACAATTTATCACTATACTATAGATTATTAAAAATACAAAACAAAAATGTTACGGGTGCTGGCTACCCGAAATGACCTGAGAGTTAAAAATGCCAGGCAGGCAGAGAACACACACAGACAGAAACCTACAGTTAGCCTGAATAGCAGACGTTTTCTTTCCATTTTCCACGAGCAAACGAGCTTGCCTGGGGTGAGCTATAAATAGGGAGATGTGGGGAGGGGTGAGAAAAAAAAAATGGGGGAAAAAGAAGAGGGGATGGAAAAGAAAGGAATCGTTTTCCATTTTCTGCCCCATCCCCTTCCTCTTATTGTTTCGCATTCGCTCGCAGTTTCGTTCACTTTGCGTGCTTTTGGAAATGATCGCCTGCAGCACAGGCTACCAACAGTTAAAATCAAAGTTATGCCCGATGGAGGGCGGAGGTACCATATGTGAAACGTTGGACTCGCAAATTAGTTAAATCAGATGCAGTGAAATCCAACCATTTTTGTTGTGCTATTAGGCCCATCTTGAATTTTCGTGAATACTTTGTTGTAACCAGCCCAGACGCCGAGTTTTTATTAAACAGACTGGACAGAGCTGTAGAATTGTTTTTCCTCCG